TAATTATTTTATGAATACGCCACGAATTCATTTCATGAATGATGTTAGTTTTGATTGGCTTACAAACGAATTTACCGACGTTTGACTGCCTCAACTGCACTTTTCTGCCTCCTTGTTGGTCAAGCTTGATTTCTCAAAATATATTTATATGAATTAACTACGAAATAGTGAGGTTAAGAGGTAGGAGTAGTAGTAGTGTATATATATATATACACACACACACACACACACCTTACAAGTATTATACGTAATATGATTCAGCATTTTGTCAGTGATGAAAAATTAAACAATAAATTAACAATTACTTTTTTTTTATAACTGGAAACATTTATAGTATCAAAGTTATTAAAAGTGATAGATGAATGCACTAATATGTTTGACAGGAAAGAAAATCTTAATGCGGGTAACCCAACATCATTGATTCCAGATACACATGATGGTAAGGGTTCAAATTGAAGGTTATATCCATTACGAGTATATTCAGTAATGTCTGGTCAGTTACTTGTCGTTCTTGAACAAGTATTACCTGACCCAAGATCAACTGTGAACTTCGTTAGAGTTGTGGTGTTCCATTTCACAGTCTATATATAATTGATTCTCTACCTGGACACTAAGATCTTTGTGTGTTTTTATTCAGGAATGAGAAAAAGATCCACAATTGTGCTAGGTGTGATATCTTCATTTGTTTTTCATTCCATGGAAAGATTACACATTTCCGGGCCCTTGTTTTTTGTTGTGTAAATAGGTAACTTGTTCAAACGAAACTTTAAAAAGACAGGGTATATTTGATTTTGCTATTCATACTTTTCCTTAAACTGCTTTATTACTTTTCCCAGATGACTTTTCAAAGACTTGCATACAGCAACATCAAGTGGCCAACGGCTGTATGTGGTATGTGGTACAAAGTAAAATAAAATAACACTGGCTTTTATAACAGATTTTATCAGCCTTGAGCTGCACCACCACCTTCTTCTTCCAACATCTTCTTCTGGTAATCTATTTTTAGGACATGTATGTAAACAAAAGGGAATCTTCAATAGCCGCGGCACTAGAGAGAGCTTTATTAAATATGATGTGTTGTGGCATAGCTGGAACAGAACAGTAAATGGTGTCAGGTTGTGATACAGGTTTAGTAACCTGTTGGAAATAAGCATGCTTTAAGTGAACTGGTACCACAACTCTTTGTGTGGATTTGTTTAAATCATCCTTGGATTCATCTCAATTCCAAAATATTTCATGATGACTCTGATGAACATATCCATCAAGTATTTCTTTCAGTAGCTGAAGTTAACCTCTGATATTATCAACAGTTAAGCAGGTCTTCAGAGTTTTGAGTGGACGTCTTGGAGAGAGTCATGCAATTGTCCCCACCAATGATAACTTTGACCAGCATTCCAAACGCCATTATTTGATCTATAGCCAGTCGAAAGACACAATTTTTCACGTACTCAATACAATTTTAAAGACACAGTTCAGGTTCCTTACATAATGTAGTAGGTGTTCCAAGAATTGCTTCCGAAGCTGTTCTTATCATGGAATCTGTTTTCTTAATAAACTAACTACGCCAAATGACACCTGGATTTTAGCTGCTATAGTAGCGATCACTGTTTAAGTTTACATCCGGGGCATTAGGCCGTGTCACTCAAACTAGTAGGCTAAACGTCGTCAATACACGTTGTCATATGTCGACATTTTTACTAACCAACGGCCTTATGTCATATTCCTTTTCTTTATTAATTGGTATTTGGATATACTAGGCCCCAGTATGGAGTCAACGAAATCTAATGTCTACAGAAATCTTCACGTGACAACCAAACAACGATAAGTATTGCGGACGGCGTCAGTAGGGTTCCAGTTCCTGACCCCTAGGCAGCATTACTGTGACAGAATGCAGGACCGACAATCCTAAATAAGTGGCAAAATACCAGCTTTGAGGACATATATATAATTATTTGATCAACACCCTTAGTCCTGAAACATTTCACCAGTCTTGCATGAAGGCCTGTAAATCATTGGCACTCATGTAGGCCTAAAACTGGTATGGTATCATGCTGTAGAGTAAGATATCACTTACGTATTATAAAAATCAAAGATATCCCCTCCCACCAACAAATCCCACGAGGTCTGTGTAATCAATAAAAATAAGGGTACATTGTGACAGCATAATATGCATGTCAGACAGGGTAAACATTTATATACATATAACTACTGTGCTTCGTAGGCCCACCTCGTGAGGTTGATTACACACACTGGAGATGCCAGACTACCTTATTTTATAACTTGCTATAATATCATGATAAAGTATAGTTTATGTATTATAAATATACAATTGTATATTGAGAACATGTAGAGAAGACAGTGTATTTAACTGGAAAATGCTTACGTTTTATGATATTGTATTTTCATATGTACCTTTTGATTAAAATTAACTAACACACTACAAAAGTTGACGAAATATTATATTTTGAATAATAATGCTAATTATTTGAATTATCTAGATGTGAACATGGGCGTTCACAGACATTTCTCAAGAAGGGGGAGTCTAAAGCAACATATGTATATCTATCTATCTGTGTGTGATGTGTCCAGTTTAATTTTGAGTCATATATCAGTCCTAGAAATTTTGTTGACGTTGCCATCTGGAGGAAAGTTCCATCAAGGTGTAGATCTGGTTTGGTTTTCTTTATTTTACTTGATTTGGTGAATAGTTACTTGCCTTTTATGTGAATTTATTTTTATTCTCCACTTGTTAAAGTACGTTTTTGTATTTCATTTAAAAGAGGTTGTAGGTTTTAAGGTGCTGTAGTTGAGTTTGAGGAACTTTTCCAGACAACAAAATCGTCTGCAACTTGTAAGCAGAAGCAAGAATTTGGCTCTTTTGAGAGGCATGTTTCTTACTTACATGACGAACAGTGTGGGGCTACCTACACCTCCTTCCGAGACACCTGTTTCAAGAGTAAAGTACTCCGATTAGGTGCCTTCGACGTTAATTCTATGCTCCAAAAAGCTGGACGACTAGGGAATAATTCCGCTCGAGAACCCTTGGGGATATTTTGTATCTGAATCCGTTGTGCCAGACATTGTTGAAAGTCTTCTCGACGTTGAGAAATCATGTGACAATGCAGTTATTTGAATTATTTGTTCTATGAGCCGGATTAAATAATATTTTATTTGTCTTAACTTGCGGAATCTGGGTGGGACCTTCGGTAGTTTGTTGGTATTTTCAAGATAGGACAGTAATCTGGTATTTATAAATTTTTTCTAAAACTTTACTTAAACAGCTGGTCAATCTGATAGGTCTTTAGTTTTCTGCATTATTCGCTGATTTTCCTTCCTTTGTGAACATAAGAACGTCAGCCCGTTTCCAGGCGGCAGGTAGTAGCCTGATTTAAATGTCAGATTGAATAACGCTATTAAATCGCCAACATCATTAAGGGTTTAAATCTTTGGCTGGAAATCTAATTTCCTTTTTTTTCGTCTGATACGTAAGCTCTAAAAGAACATCTGATCCTCCAAGGTCCAATAAAATCGGACCTAAAATTCTATCCAGTTTGAGCTTAAGTTCAAACCAATTGATCTCTATTACCAAATCGAACGTAAATATAGATCTGTTCGAGATATTTATACTTCGAATTCTGTTAAAAATGACGTCGCACGAATAAATCTCTGTAGACAAATTAGCGTTCGGAAAATATCCCGATGCATTACTCAGAAACCTAATTTTCTTATAGGTTTAGTGACTTAAGAAGAGCTATAGTTTTAGTTGGCCCATTCTTGCACTTGTAATAATGTTATATACGAGTAATTTGTATTAGATATATATATATGTATAATGTAATGGCGACTTACATTTTAAAGGCCGAGTCAAACGTATGACCAATTAATTACCAACAATTCACCAAGTTTGTGACGCTTAACTAAAAAATAAATAAAAAGGGGGCGTGTATCATTCAATAAGAACATTAAAAACAGAATTTATTAAGTAAGAAATTTCGAACTTACCGAGCTCCGACAATCAGCTGATAACGTGAAACGTCAAACAGAAGTTCCGAAAATCTTTTGACCCCAACTTGACTAAATCTGTTAATGTTGGTCTGTAGAAGTTCTGAAAATATCAAACAAAAATCAAGTTTATCGAATATTGAAAAAATAAAGTAAACGAGAATTTCTTCAGTCTTGCAGTTTATATATTTAATTTATTTTCCAGATTTTGTTTGTTTTGTTTTTGAATTTCGCGCAAAGCTACACGAGGGCTATCTGCACTAGCCGTCCCTAATTTAGCAGTGTAAGACTAGAGGGAAGGCAGCTAGTCATCAACACAAACCGCCAACTCTTGGGCTACTCTTTTACCAACGAAAAATTGACCGTCACATTATAACGCCCCCACGGCTGAAAGGGCGAGCATGTTTGGTGGGACGGGGATTCGAACCTGCGACCCTCAGATTGCGAGTCGAGCGCCTTATCCACCTGGCATTGCCGGGCCTCCAGATTTTGAGTTATGAATAATGAGGATAAGAATGGGACAAATACAACATTTCTATGAGCAGTAGTTACATGTTATTATTAATAACAATGCTTACGTCTAATACCGAAGATGATTTTTGTGTAATAATTACATATGTACAACAATAACCGTAAATCAGTTATTCTAAAGCTACTAATTGTAAATAAAGGCACCAAAATACAGTTTTCTCGTGCAAAAATATATGTATTCTTTGCACGATATTGTGCGCGAAGTTGGATAAACATTTCAAAGCCCATTTTTATGATAATTACTGCATTTAATCCATCATCAAAGTAAAGCTTTATCTCTAATGAAGTCTTAATCAATTAAAAATATCAACAAATATCGTGTAAATATAAAATCAATTGAATTAAAGGGCTTATCTACGCTCTGTCCACGGTGAGTATGTTTTGTTTTTGTTTTTTATTTCGCGCAAAGCTACACAAGGGCTATCTGCGTTAGCCGTCCCTAATTTAGCAGTGTAAGACTAGAGGGAAGACAACTAGTCAGCACCACCCACCCACCGCCAACTCTTGGGCTACTTTTTTACCAACGAATAGTGCGATTGGCCGTAACGTTATAACGCCCCCACGGCTGAAAGGGCGAGCATGTTTGGTGTGACGGGGATTCGAACCCGCGACCCTCAGATTGTGAGTCGAGCGCCCTAACCACCTGGCCTCCACGGGGGACCAATGAATTGTGATAAAATCTTTAAAAAGTTCTTTTAATTAAAGAATGTGGATAACTAAGTCTATTTCTTAAATAAAATTTGAGGCCTATTACGTGTGGTTATTGTAATATTAAGATAGTGGTTGTAACGTTGTTCTTTCGTAGGAGTGTAAGAACAATTCGTAATCTAGTCCACTCAAACGACAACAAATTATTTTATTTCTTCCTTGACGTTTCTACAAGCTTATACAGTTTTGTAATTTGTTGTAGGGTTAAGTTTACAAATGACGTTTCAATTCAAATAGAAATACCTTACTAATGGTACTGTACTAACGTAAAACAAATTTAATTGTACAATTTTTTAACGGCTAATCGATCGAATAATTGAATATACACGATAAATAACCCCGATTCAAATATCTCACTGAAACTGCGCGCTTATAAATAAGATTACTCAATACTCGTTCACTTTAATAACTGAAAGCAAAACACACCAACTCAATGCTTCAATACTTCTTGTACTTATAACCTAATCTCGTCTCTTGATACTCCCCGAATTTACTAATTTTCGTGGCGTTAAATTTAGAACATTCTATGCCTACTTCCACAAACCTATTTGATCTCAGCGTCATGCAAATTAAAACATTGAAAATATAGTCCACAATAATAATTTCAGGACTTTTCTCCACGGAACAAAACAAGTGGATCTATTATTTTCGCGAAATTTCAGACCCCTACTAGAATAATAGGAGAAATGTCCGGAAATTCTCTTTATATCAATATATCTCTGCCTACAAGCATATAAATAAGTGTTACGTCATCGTAATTATGTTAAATTTAAATCGCTTATATGTTAATAAATGTACTTGTTTGTATCTAACAACTTGATATCTTAGATCTCACATTTCATTCTTTGGTATGCTGGAAATTACTGTCAAGTTAATACCATCATAAAATCATTTTACAATTAATACTATCATAATACGGGACATACATTACGATCACGCTGCTTTTCAAATTTAAGGCGCATTGGTATGGGAGGGGGATACAGAACTGGTTTCATCAGTATATAACTGAACTGTAAGACATGACTTAAATATTTATTAATTGTAAAATGTATAAATTACAGAGTATAACCAACTATTCACCTGCCAATTTCCTATGTTGTCATTGGACGTTCTGAACACAAAGACTTCCTTAAAACGTGATTGTTTATCACCCAATATAAAATACTTTGATAATTCAAATACAAGTACATCTTAAAGATACAGCATGAGGGATTCCCATTTGACAAGTTAATTATATACTGCAGTCAAATTCGTACTACAGCGTATATGTCGAGAGCCTTTCCAGATATGACGGTCTTTTCAATGAACCTAAAGTTCATTGAAATTCATAAGGGCCTTTCTTGCTAGTTTCAAGTGGAGCTATAAGAAGACGACGGAAGATATCTTCTGCAGTTCCAAAACGGTTTTATCAACATGTAAAGAGTGTTTTTTTTTTAAATAGTTTTATTTTTTAATTTTGGAAGCAGCACTTATGTTGACGTTGACGACAATATAGTGAATATGCTCATACCGTCTACAACATCTTTGCACTGCATTTAAGAATGGTTTTAACAACACAAATTGTGTGTTATATCTGGCATCCCGAAGATATGGCACTTCAACACCAGAGACAACGAAAAACCTACTTACTCATTTCGTGAAAGAAATAACACATCTTAAAGTTATATTGTTGACTCATAGATATGGCACTTCAACACCAGAGACAACGAAAAACCTACTACTCATTTCGTGAAAGAAATAACACATCTTAGAGTTATATTGTTGACTCATAGATATGGCACTTCAACACCAGAGACAACGAAAAACCTACTACTCATTTCGTGAAAGAAATAACACATCTTAGAGTTATATTGTTGACTCATAGATATGGCACTTCAACACCAGAGACAACGAAAAACCTACTACTCATTTCGTGAAAGAAATAACACATCTTAAAGTTATGACGTCATGCAATATTGGTTATATTGTTGACTCATATCCATGAAACATCATTTAATGTTGTTTTTTTGGCTGACCCGACTCTTTTAACTTCAGACTTATACACTTCTAATCTGGATGACAGAAAACCATGCTAACATAATTTGCAAGTAGTTCCAGTTGATGTTTTGAAAGAAATAGTTGACAGCGCTTTAAGGGAACAAAGTTCAGATCCACAATGAATGTAACATACAAAGAATTTCCTAATCCATGAAGCAATTCTGAGATATTTTTCACTGTTATTGTGAAGTGGAAAAGAACAAGTGAATAATTCAACCAATTTTGAAAAAAACAAAAAAAAACACTAAAGTCGCCATCTTTATTAGTCCTAACTGCTATGCGGCAAAGGCTTAAATAAATTATGTTATTATACCAATGAATTTTGTTCTACACCCAAGCAGTGTGGTCAATAGGTTTACTTTTCAATTTTCTTTCCGCCTTATCCAAGGTATAAACTATAGGTTTCTACATTGCATATCTATTGGCAACAAACGTGATTAACACTCCTTCTCATGTTCATGGTAACATGAACTTCCCAACTTGTGTACACCAACCTTTTCCCAACGTATCTAGTTTCACAAATAACAATTCAATATTTCCAGAGACTGCAGTACAGTTCTTGACATCTATTCCCGCTACGGTTGAGAAGTAACAATATTTAGCCAATTTTTCGAATCAAGAAACAATCACCATCTCCTGTGAAATTAAGAGCGTCTGAAAAATTGTATATGTAAGTATATACTTTATTACATACTTATTCAACATATTACTTTGTGCGATTAGGCACTAGACAACATAAAATACACTAAACATTACATATACACGAAATATTTGGCAATCACATCAGCAAACCTTCCAAAAACGTCAAACTTTAAAAACACATGGGATAGATAATTATTACTTGCTATTTTTAATACGATTTGCCTTTTTTTTTAATAATAGAAAAGTTACACTAAATATGACACTGGGATACAAGGTATAAAAGTTTCCCCAACCTATTCTCGTGCCATCAGTTTTTTTTCTCTTTTATCCAGCCGTACTTTCATACAATTATTTATTGTGAAGTTTTACATTTTTGTTGCCTCATTTCAACTATTTGTGGTATTTCATATTTTTCGTGTCAATAATGTTTCCACCTCCCCTTCTTACAATAACATACACTTTTCAACCCGATTTAAAATACCACAAACTTTAAACATGGGCCCCGGCATGGCCAGGTGGTTAAGGCGATCGACTCGCAATCTGAGGGTCGCGGGATCGAATCCCCGTCACACCAAACATGCTCGCCCTTTCAGACGTTGAGGCGTTATAATGTGACGGTCAATCCCACCATTCGTTGGTAAAAGAGTAGCCCAAGAGTTGGCGGTGGGTGGTGATGACGAGCTGCCTTCCCTCTAGTCTTGCACTGCTAAATTAGGGACGGCTAGCGCAGATAGCCCTCGTGTAGCTTTGCGCGAAATTCAAAACAAACCTTAAACATGTATCATGCACGTGTTTAAAGTTCTAACTAATATCGAAACAGGAAGAAAGATTTGTTAAACAGATATTTACATTTCTAGAAAAACACGTTATAAACGAGACTGTTCACAACCAAAGAGGAAATAATAAACAAATAAAAAAAGGAAATTTTAAATTAAGTTTTGTTGCGGTATATCTTAGTAACATCCATCGTAGTTCTACTACGAACGTTGTACAGATGAAACATAAGTTGAATACGTAATGTGGCTATTATGTAGGTAAGCGACGTGCTAGGCTTAAGGCACTACATCTTTTGTTACTTTATTTTAACTATTTTAATACCACAAACTGTAACTCATTAAATACAGGGTTTCTAGAATAATACAAAATAATTGTAATCGCAGACACCGAAATCTGTAAGTCCGCCTG